TCTTGGCTATTTCTTCTTTCATCATTTTCTCCACCCCGCTCTCTCCCTATTCCTTTTCTTTCTTTTTCCTTCCCAGTTCAATAGAACTGAAATATACCTGCCAATATTTTTTTTTATAATGGCATGAAACCTTGAGTTTTTTTTTTTTTTTAAACAAGAATTCGAATTTTGGAAAAAATAGAAAAGCGTAAACGTGAAGAGAAAAAGAAATGGATGATATATCCGTTGAGTCTTGGATAAAAGAGAACAATGATTCTTTTATCAAATTTTCAGAAAGTTACGGAATCAAGTAGGGCACTAAAAAAAAAAGGAAAAAAAAGGAAAAAAAAAAAGAAAACGTGTGTTAAAATTTAAAGATTCCTGATTCTATATTTTGTTTTTATTATCTGATCTTGACCTGCCATCTCGACTTCAGTCACATTGTCAAGGACATAACATGGCTTCCCTCTGTCTTTTCTACAACTATTTTCATGGTAATAGTCTTGACGAGCTTTTATCCCTGGTACTCAGACTACACGAATTTAACTATGTTCTTAGGTCTCACCCATTTACTGTTGATCTAACTAGATCTAATTAATTAATTTTCCCATGATGCAAATGAAAGTGTTTCTGGTCACTTGTGTGATTTTATGATCCCCACTTCCGGAAATGATAGAATCTTTCTCTATCCACTTTTACAACGACATCATTCGGGCGTGTTTTAGCAGCCCTGCTCGTGAAGTAGTGATTTACGCTTCCCAACTCCGCGCAAAGATGATTTAAACTCGACTATCTTCACCCGTTCTTTTCTTGCCTTCTCCGAAAAGGCAGCACCTCTCCTTCGGGAGGAGACTGGGTTTATTGCCCGGCACCTGAGGCGTCTCCAAACGGGGAAGTGCCGAAGTGGCTTTTTTTCACGGTATGGCCGTCAAACCCACTTTAAACGTAGACTTTGGGTCACATTCAGTAGCGACGTGGGCTCGCTAAAAAGTACCCTCGACCTTGTGTTACATTCGGTAGCGACGTGTGCTCGCTAAAAATACCCTCGACCTTGTGTCACATTCAGTAGCGACGTGGGCTCGATAAAAATACCCTCGACCTTGTGTTACATTCGGTAGTGACGTGGGCTCGCTAAAATACCCTCGACCTTGTGTCACATCTAGTAGCGACGTGGGCTCGATAAAAATACCCTCGACCTTGTGTCACATTCAGTAGCGAAGTGGGCTCGCTAAAAATACCCTCGACCTTGTGTCACATTTAGTAGCGAAGTGGGCGCGCTAAAAATACTCTCGACCTTGTGTCACATTCGGTAGCGACGTGGGCTCGCTCAAAAGTACCCTCGACTTTGTGTAACATTCGGTAGCGACGTGTGCTCGCTAAAAAGTACCCTCGACCTTTTGTCACATTCGGTAGCGACCTTGGCTCGCTGAAAAAATACCCTCGTACAACGTTAAGCTCATTAAATAATATCTGGTTTGCTTTGGTCGCAATTTACGCACCAAATGCTAGAGGCTGGTTTTTCAGTCTCCAGTAAGGAAACTCTTTCGAAAATTGATTCATTTAAACCAGCGTTTCTCAACCTTTTTAAGAAACGGCACACCAAGAAGCAAATGAGAAATCTCACGGTAGACTTAGCAAAATTTTTAAAGGCTATACATTTAAATGTTATGAAATAAAACCATAGAGTTAAAAAAATGCAGATTCAAATATAAACTTACTTTATTTCAATGTTTCTATTCAACTATTTGTGCAGCTTATTAAGTGTGAAACCTGTGCCTTGTGTTTTTTTTATGATTTCTTCATTATTTGGTCGAATGTGCGATAATCAGGCACTCATTTCTTTTTAGGGTTAAACGTAGTCTTACCCGCTTCCTATTTTTGATGTTATTTAGGGTTGAGTAGTTTACTTCACATAAATAAGAAGTAGAAAGTTGCAATAAAACTGATAAAGCCCTTTTAGCTAATGTGGTATATTCGTTTTGTATGGAGCCATTAAAAAATTAAAAAAATACTTAAAAAAATGAATATTAAAACAAAGTATTTAAAATAACAACATCGAAGAATAGAGAAAAGAACTATTTGAAAAAAAAAAGGTTAATACTTATTCAAACATACACGCACATATATATGAGAGAGAGAAAGACAAACACACACAGGATAACGGCTCGGACTGAGGAATCGGAGAGCCGAGTTTGAATTCCAGTCGAATCTATTACATTCACTTAAGGTGCTAATACCCTTCACCCTCCAGCTATGGGTAAAATAGCAGGGCAGACTGGGTTCTATAGCCTTGGTTGGCAACTGGGCTAGGAGAAGGGCAACTCTGAATTCAAAACTTGCGGAGGGTCGTTTGGGGAACTTATGACACGTAGTGCACCAGGTCTCTTCATTCGGTTCTTCAAAAGTGTTTTTTTCTGCACAAAGCCTTCACCATTATAATCAAATCACATGGGCTGGTCTCTAAGCGGTCGGTTCTTAGTAACTAAGCTGCTTGACCCTCATACGAATATGACGGGAGAGC